GTAAAATATAATCGGACTGAAAATGAATTGAAATTTTACACTTCGGAATTTAATAATTTCTGCAGCAGAGAGGGCATAGTGAGACATCGCACTTATATGATAATATCACAATAGAATGGTATTGCAGAATGCATTAATATAACATTTTATGATAGGACACAAAGCATACTTTCACACTCATGTATTAGCAAGAATTTTTAGGCTGAAGCAATCAATATATAGCTTGTTATTTGGTCAACAGATCTCCATCCACATCTATTGAGTTCAAAACTCCTTTTAAGGCATTGGTCTGGTTTGCCTATTGATTATTCAAATTTGACAATATTAGATTACTTATGCTCAAGTAAGGGATGCCAAACTTGAGTCGAGGATAAAGAAGTGCATATTTCTAGGGTATGCAACTGGAGTAAAAGCTTACATGTTGTGGTGCATCGATCCAAAGACTCCATAATTAGTTATTAGTAGGGATGTGATATTCAATGAATCTTCCTTATTGTCAGAGGGAGAACACAATAGCAGAAACATATTATGGTCACAGTGTCCATATAGAGCTAAAAGTTGAATCTCCACTAGCTCTGCCCAATAGTTCAGAAGTAGAAGAAGTTGAGGAGGTGCAAAAAGTTAATCATGATGATAATGTTGATGCCCCTGTGCAATATCAATCGTACAGCATAATACCATGCAGAGTGAAGAAAGTGATCAAGTGACCACAAAGATTTGCAAATGTAATTGATGTGAATCTTCTTGAATATCTAAATCCTATGTGATTTGCTTCGTCAGTTACATAGGTTATTGATGTGCCTGAGTGTAATAACTATCCAAAAGCAATTTTGAGTGCCGAAACAGTCGATGGATTGGTGTTATGGCTGAAGAGATTAAGTCTTTTAACAAGTTTATGTTAGAGCTGAAAAGATTAAGTCTCTTAACAAGTTTAGGCATTTCCTATACTTAGTTGATTAGTGCGTAATGGACATAGCCCTTACGAGAGCTGAGATAAGACAGAGAGATGTTGTGCCTGTTGATGGAGAGTATTCAAGCCGACGAGAAGATTTGTAAATTGCATCTTGAATTTATTTTTTTGTATTTTTAGAAAACTCATAATACCTATAGGTTTGGAAAAACTCATTTTTCTAATAGTTTTGACCAAAAAAAAGTGTATTATCCTTGTAGGATTGAGAAAATCTTTCTCTTATAGGTTTAAGAGTACTTAGGATCTATATATAGGAGTTTTAGATGTGGACTCTTTGTACAATGTATTCTTCTCATTCATAGTGAAAAAATTCACTCAACTTCTGCCTCGAGAATTAGACTTAGCCGAACCTCATTAAATCCTTGTGTTGTTTTTCCTTTTTTTATTTTCTTTGTGTGTGATTGTATACTAGTACTAGTTAAACCACGATCTTCCACAACAAACAACTACAAATAAAAAAATGAAAATCAATGTCAAATAGAAAGACAATTTCACTACCAAGTAGTAATCATGTCACACAGAAAGGTACAAGATAGTATTTTAAAATATAGACAATACACGCACAAGAAATGAAATTTAGTTTCTTTTCCAAATATTAAAAACTTGTTCGAGAAAATTGCTATCTAAGTTTAATAGAACTTCCTCTTGAAATAGTTGGAAAAAAAAATTAGAACACAAGGAATACTATTTAAAAACGCCCTAAAGATACTAATATGTAAAAATTTCAGGCATGTGGATTGTGGGCAGTGGACATACCCTTCAATCTGGGTTACTATAACTTAATCTTCAGCGTACTTTAACATAATTAAACAGTTACTGCAATTAGATTTTAAGTGATCTTATTATGTATATATTTATACCGTACGGGATAAAACATAAATTATCATTAATACAATGCAATATGTGGAGCCGCAAAGACTAGCTAGAAGGAAAGGAGTAAACAACGGCCCTTGAACAAATTTGAGACCTCTAATTTATGTTTGTTGCATGCAAAATATTGCCAATCTCAAATTCCAAACGTCATTGTACACAATACTAAAAGCCTTCTTTCATTTCTATCTTCTTTCACCACCATTTTTTTCTCAATTCAGAAGTCATGGCATTACCACTTCTTTCAACTTTCCTCTTCTCATCTCTAGCCTTATTTTCTCTAACAGAATCCAAGCTCAATGTTGACTACTACAATAAATCATGTCCTCAATTTGAAAAAATCATCCAGCAAATCGTCGTCGACAAGCAACTTGCCGCGCCCACGACCGCAGCCGGCACCCTCCGCCTCTTCTTCCACGACTGCATGGTGGGAGGATGCGACGCCTCGTTACTTATTTCCTCAAACTCCTTTGCCACGGCTGAGCGCGACACGGATATAAACCTCTCTCTCCCCGGGGACGCCTTTGACCTTATTGCACGAGCGAAGACTGCCCTAGAACTCCAATGCCCCGGCATTGTTTCTTGTGCAGATGTTTTAGCTGTTGCAACTCGAGACTTAATCACCATGGTTGGAGGTCCGTTTTACAATATTCGTCTCGGCCGTAAAGATAGCTTTGAATCATACGCAAAAGATGTTGAAGGCCATATTGCTAGGCCTAACATGACCATGGATACAATAATCAACATGTTCGCATCGAAAAATCTAAACATACAAGAAATGGTGGCTTTAGTGGGTGCACATACTATTGGTTTCTCACATTGTTCAGAGTTTAGCAAGAGAATCTTCAAATATAGCAACACTTCAGAAATTGATCCTTCTATGAATCCTACATTTGCACAAGCGTTACGAAAGCTATGTGGGAATAACTCGAAAGATATGGCGGCCTTCAACGACGTGATGACACCTGGCAAGTTCGACAACATGTATTACATAAACTTGCAAAAGGGTCTAGGGCTATTGGCTTCAGATCAAGCTATGGTTTCAGATCCTAGGACTAAACCTTTTGTGGAGCTTTATGCAACGGATCAAGATGCATTTTTTAAAGCATTTGCTCATGCAATTGAGAAAGTAAGCGTTTATCACGTTAAAACTGGGAAAAAGGGAGAGGTGAGACGCAGATGTGATGTTGTCAATCATTTACAAGTGAATTCCAACAAGAAAATTGCTAGTTAGGATCCGATGGCATGTTTTAGTGTGAAGGTGCTTTTGGATTATAGTTTTCCATTGAACATGATATGTTGGGTGAAGATGTTAGGTGAGGTCTTGATAGGATAAGATTTATGTGTTTGTATTAGAATGCATGTCCAAATGTGAACAGTTTTGACCTCATGATAATTCAACATTTGTTGTCTATCAAGACCTCATATGATAATTCAATTATTTGCTTCGTGAAGTTTTTTGTATTTATTCTTCTCTAGCATTTTGCTTTGATGGTATTGATGCTTGTTGTTCCCTACTTTTTGTTTTTCTTGAGCCTTTTTTATCCTCTTGACCTTTGTATCTTTTCTGAGACGAGGGTCTATCGGAAACAGCATCTTTGATCTACTTTTTTAAAACTGGGGTCTATAAAGATGATTGTATGAATCTCACAAGTAACATCAGCTCAAGAAAACCATATGCAAATGGAAATAGACAAAAATAACTACTACGACCACTAGCCTCGCATAAGCAGCAACTTAACAGAAAAGGGTTAAACGACTGCACCACTATTTTTAATAATATGAACCTGGTCAATTTATAGACACACAGCCAAGGAAATTCAATGGAATATATGTAATCCCTCCACATTTAACCAGAGATCTCAAGTTTGAACCCTGAGATTGGAAAAATTCTTAGTAGGGAATACTTTCCCGTTAAATGAACCCTACACAATATGAACCTAGACTTAATCGGGCCAGTGAATTTTAAAGGACTTTTTTCACTTTTAGCCCGCGCCAGAATCTATTTACATTCGATAACCAAAAAGTGTATAAAATTTGTACCATTTTTGTATATAACATACATATGTGTGGGTGGGTGGGTGTGTATATATATTTTTCGGTTATTATTTTGAGAGCAGCTATCCAATATCATTTTTCAAATTTTTTAAAGAGTAGATTGTTGAACCAAAAAAAAAAAAGGGGTGGCAAACTAATGAGTTGGGTCGGATATGGACGTCCTTAATATATCCTGAAGCTCAACGTATTTTCTGATTGTAAAGAGTGCTAGTGTTCTAGGTCTTCGAAAAAATACTTTATTTATTTTCTTTTTGGGGGTCTGGTAGTGGCACATACTGCTATGAGTCGATAGACTTAAATCAGCTCGTTAGATAAAATAGACACTTTAACGACTGACAAATGACCATAAATCATGTTTCCCTCATCTCATACTGGGACTAGGCATCTAATTTTCTTCCTCGAAATCTCACCCATCAAGATCCTATTTTGTCGATCTTCAATAAAGAATTAGTCATCTTTGTCGATCACTACTAAAGACCCTATTTTGTAATATGTTTGCNAAAATTTCTGATAGGATTCAGATGGGGGTGCCAATGAAATACCCAAAAGACAAATAAATCATGAAAAAGATCCAACCAAACAAAGAAGAGCATCACATGGTCAATTTGATTCAGTATTGTATAGTACAAAACATCTACTGTAAATATTATCAGCCGACTAGTCTTACGGAAATATCTGAAACCAAAGAGCAAAATAGTGACAAAAATGTTAAAAGTAATTTTTTTCATATGCCTAAGCCTCGATAGACAGACTTACTTAGTTATGTGCTTGTTAAAGATGACAAGTACCCGGTTAAATAATTATATTGCGCACGAGCTGGTCGGCACACCATCATTACATATAAAAAATTAAATTTAAAAAAAACAGCTGAACATGGTGCGACACATACAACATAAAATTGATTAGGCATCTCTGACAAAACATGAAGAGCAATGATCTTGTATTATTCACTTTTTTTGTATTAGCAAGTATATCAGACCACTATTCAGACAAAAGAACTAGTCAATTCTACACCTAGCTATTTGCCTGAATTTAACAAAGAACGAACTTTTTTCTTTATCCCAGTCCTCTCTTTTGTCACTTAAAAACTGACACAAGCATAGCTCATTCAAGAAAGACTTGTGATTGAATAATGCAATTTACATGCGTGAGCGTTGGGGACGGACATCAAAAGGTAAAAGAATAAAGAGGAAAGAATTTTACAATAGGATTTGTTGAGTGCTTCTCGTGTCACACCACCATTTCATAAATACCTACCAGTATTTCAGCGCAAAGCTGATGCCTAGGTACAGCAATTACGCCCTCCGGCAATTTCTCAAGTCCTGCAACATGTTCATTGCTTGGACAAAACAGTAAGTGCACCTCGGCGCCAACTGCTACCACGTTTCTCTATAAACTACAAGTAAAATAGAAAAGTAAATGTGTATCGCGGAAGAAAGGATATGACATGACATGACACTAGAAGGCATTGACCTGACAGTTATCTATAAAATCCAGAGAAAGAGAGAGAGATGCTCACCCTATTTTAACAAGGCTTCCTTTTGTCAACCTTCAAGGGAATGTTGAACCACTTCTTCTTCTTTGACCGGTCTCTTGAAGCCTTCTTATCTCGTACTGGACCATCTTCACTGGCCTCCTTGGAACCACCTTTGTTCTTACTTCGATTGCTACTACTACGCTTCATTGCAGGAAGAGTTGTATAGGAAGCATGAATTTCATTGCGGTTCTTAAGAAGCTCATCGATCTATATTGATAACCGAAGAGGTTAAAACAATATAATTTAACTTTGTCTTTGGAATATCAAAACACTTCAAATAGGTGACCAAATTAGAGTTGCACATGATGTTCTCAAGGCATCGAACTTACAGCTTGCATTTCTTGTGCATATCTACTTGTCATCTCAGTAAATTGCGCTAAGACCTGCCAAACCCCCAGAAAGGAATCAGTAAAATCAAATAAATATAGAGCAAGAGATTGGCGAATATTGGAAGGAGCTCAGACCTCCCTATATTCTGTTTCAAACTTAGAAAGTTCCACCCTTTTTGACAAAAGTTGAGCTTCTATTGCTCTAAGATTCTCTTTTTCCTCAGTAAAAGGTTCAGCACAAACAGCTTCAATGGTGTAGCTCACACTTTTAAAAAAATTGTCACCTACAAATGTCAACCAGAAAACAGAAAGGAGCATTCAGTATTGAGTATTGTATTTCCATTGAATTAAATAGAGTTTTAAGGACGGCATGGGAAAGATACCATAAACTGCAAAGACATGTGTGCCAGCTTTTAGCTCAGTTATCTCACATGGTTGAAATCCATCCAGTTTCTTGAAAAAAGCTGAGTCTGGATCCTTTGCAGCTGTTACCTATACATTAGCTCAAGCAAAAAAAGGAATGTGAACATATGAGCACAAACTTTAGAGAAACAACTAAAAATTGAAATTACGCACAGATATAAACTCACCGAGTTTTGGGTTTGATCCATGTGATAAACTGGGAATCCAAGAAAATACATGCCGGCAGATGTGACTTTACCTGTTTTTGAACTATCTTCCTGCAAATAAGCCACAATAAATTTACAGCAATACTAATGTAGTTCTCTACCCTTCGGGGTAGGGGTAAGGTCTGCGTACATATTACCCTCCCCAGACCCCACTTGTGGGATTATACTGGGTCGTTGTTGTTGTTGTTGTTGTACTAATGTAGTACTAACCAGGATCATAAACCAAATAAGAATCAATTTGAACAATGATTGTGATTAATCTGAGAGCAGATGGCCTAGCTTATATGAGAGGGTATGAAAAAAGGATGCAGAAAAAGGGTAGTATTTGAACAACGAGATCACTTAGTGTGAGGCCGCTAATCGAATCTAGTTTCACATTTGAATTGCCCCACATCTGCTATTCTGTCATTAAATAAAATCGAAATAACATAAACTCGGCATATGTGGCAGAGACGTGAATTTAGAAACTTACTATTGTTGCTAAAGAAAGATAGTGCATCATTTAGGACTAGACATTAATTTCTTGATTTGAACAGAAAACAGATATTCATATCCATATATTTATAAGAAGAAAAAAAAAAGGAGCTCATTATCTGTTCGAGCCTAAAATATCAAGTAATTTGAAGTGTGATAATCTAGATTACTTGACTGCAATACGGAGCAACCAAAAGAATGGATAGAGAATGGAACCTGTAATGCAAGGCTCAGTCCACCATTTTCTTCTTGGTCAAAGTACAATAGCTGCACACAAACAATTCAAATAACCAAACTGTGACAAACTCAAAACAGATCAACACAAGGATAAAGATTGAGTTGATTGAATTAAAAAACAACCACTACTAAGCCTCAACCCCAAACAAGTTGGGGTCAGCTATACGAATCCTCAATTCTCTTTTTAAGCTCAACTCATGTTATCATCATACAAATAAAATAAAAGTGAAAATAAGTTATATATATACATAAATAATAGTAATAATAATATTTGAAGTACTCTAACAAGACTAAAACATATTCCCAACTAGTATTGTAGCATGTCTTTAACGAAGTCTGCATGGATTCAAAGAATTTGTCGGTTGGTTGATGGAATTAAACCAAAGAAAATTATAGTGTAAAATCTATGACGGAAATCATAGTATGATACTCCCAAATGAGGAACGTAGATCTGCTGATGCTGGGTTGTCCTAACTTAAGCTAGTCCAAGAAATCAGTGTCTTTTTCGGTCCAAAAAAGAATACCCAATTCGCACAATTCAACTAGCGAGCACTTTCTATGACAAGTAAAATTTCCTGGGATCAACTTCCAGACAGGGCAGAAATCAGAAATGGTGACACAATTTTACCCTTTTTGTAAACCTCAAGAAGAATTATCTTAGACTTTTCCTCTTTCTCTGCCCACATTTTACAACTAGAAAAATAGTTTAGTGTAACCTCATAGATGAGGTATCTACTATCTACTACTGATGTCTGATATACAATTCTACAAGGTCCTAAAATTTTAACAAGGGGCCTGCCACCATAGAACATTTCTAGGATTACTTAAGATCAACCAATCACAGACATAAATGTACCAATTACCAAGGTCTACAGCATTGTCAAGACAGAAACCTTAATACAATAGAATAATACAGACAGGAACAGAGATGAGTATATCAAACCTAAGTGAGAACTGAGAAAGAGATATGAGAAAAAGCTTCCAAGAGGTTATGTCTATCGAATGATTTATCACGAAAACAAAAGAGAGTCGATCTAATGATGGAAATATTTGAATATATTCTAGAGACACATTATTAAGTCTCTAACTCAGCTAAGCATCGCTAGGTGACAATATCTGTCAATTAAAAGTTTGTCAAAGCAACAGCAAATGTAGCAGTACTCTATTAGCAATTTACCGCAATTCTAGTAGCAAGAAAATCTTGAAATTTAGTTTCCTAGAAATCTGTTTCCATGTAGCAAGCATTCAGTTGACCAAATATATACAATAAAGTAATCCTACGGATATTTGGCTTTAGATTGGACAGACCTTGAATTTGCTTTTTTCTCGTGAATAAACTCGGCAGACAAGGCCCCCCTTCGCTTCCTTTTCTGTTATGTTAACAGAGTAGAAGTGAGCAGATTGTTTTTCTACCTGTTAAGAAGAAGATAAGAACTTCTGCAGTAACCAAGTTTTAACAAGTGTGAATGACATTGGATTTATAGATTGATACCTTTTTACACAAAGGCTGCCCAAGTGGAAGTGGTTGTATAGGTACCGAACCATTTAAGGCTTCCTCTAGAACAGTTGCGGAGACTGTGGTTTTTATTGGTACACCAAGCTTACTGCTCATAATGCAAATAAAGTGAAAATTCATTATCATGCAGCACAGATGTCACAAGCAGAAGTATGAATTCACTGAAAAGAAACATAAAAATTTGCACGCGACACGGACTGACCTAAAAAGTGCAGCAAACATAGTGTTTACAGTTCCCAAACTTGAAAGATCAAGCTCCAATTCTTGGCTTTCTGACTCAACAGCCTGTTTAAATAATACTTATATTAGGTAGAGCATCAACATTTTCATTTCTCTATGAGGAATGCACAAGTGGAAGTCTACACATAACTCTTAATCTATTAAAGATAGCGATCTAGGATAAAGAGCGCTACAACATTCTAATAGAAACTAAATTATCAACCAGAAGGTATCATATGCTTAGGAAAAGTATAACTAAATTAACTTCTCGTCTTACAGACTACAGTGAGGGAAAAAACTCACCTCAAAACCAGCTGAGTCATATTGACGTCTTTTATCTGGATCAGATAAAATGTTATATGAAAAGGTGACCTCCTTGAACATGTCCGCTGCTTTAGGATCATTTCCATTCTTGTCAGGATGATACCTGTATTTTGAGAAGGCAGCAACAAAAACAACATAATCTGCATCAGACCCGAGGGATAATATTTGCATCTTAAAATCACATGCTATGATGTAGCCAAATTCTACAAATATAAAAGAGCTGAGAGCTTTCTCGGATTACTGAACTGCTTAAATACGACTTTCTCATGGGAGCAATATTTTTAAAATTGGTTGCTAATGATTTTATAAAACATTCCTGTTTGATAATTTCCACAGACATCAGAACCAACTATGTAATTGTTGCCCTGCAAATTGTTATTGAGCTTTGATATATCAAACTCAAAGCTAACTTTCCAAAACTAGACTGAAGAATGATGAGAATTGAGAAAGATAAGACTGAAAAAAGAGCAAAGTAAAGAAGACAAGAAGTTATAAATTCTAATTTCCTTCCTATAACTTAAATATCAAACTTATTCTCAAGAATAACCAAAACGATAAACATTTTCATTCTAAAAGATTAAACTCTTCCAGAATCCTGCTCAAACAACCACTTCTCCCTTACTTCCTTCTCTCAAAACAGGAAAAACCAATCCTTTATTTTGACAGTTATTTATTTCTCTTAAAATTTAATATTGAGGTAAAGATATTTATTTCCCCCAATTTTGTTAATTAGCTGGACTACTGGTTGCAGACCTAAACCTCGGAAAATACTTCCCACTAAAGTTTCATAAGAAGTTGAAACCTTCAAAAGGAAAATGCACAAGGGGAAAAAACAAAAATAAAGGAAAAAGCTCTGATCTGACAACAATAACACACTTTATAGTAAGCAATGCACCCTCTTCTTCAAAATGTTCCTTCCTTTTCTTCTTTTAGAAAAAAAAAATCCACAGAAACAACACAGCTTCAATGTTTATGCATTTTAACAATTATTGCTAACATTTCTATATAACCAAGGAGAGTCTTGGCGTAACTGGTAAAGTTGTTGCCTGGGAAACAGTCTCTTGCAGAAATGCAAGATAAGGCTGCGTACAATAGACGGCTCTTTTCCGTACCCTGCGCATAGCGCGAGTTTAGTGCACCGGGCTGCCCTTTTCTATATAACTAAGCCTACAGAACTACCATTCTCAAGCTAAGTAATTTTCATTATCACCTTGGTAATAACAGTACTACCCATCACAAAATTTAAAATCTTTCACCCCAAAATAGAAAAGACAAAAATTAAATTTCTGATAGAACCCAAATTGGGTTTCAATAAAACAGCTCTACAATGCCAAAACCAAAAGAAATGCACTGAAAACAAAGAAAAAAACATAAAAAGGTCAAAACTTTAAATTCAAAATCAACAAGAATTAAAAGGGTTCAAAGATTAGACATACTTCAAAGCTAATTTCCTGTAAGCACTTTTAATTTCTTGATCTGTAGAATTCCTTGAGACACCTAATACCTCATAAGGGTCCCTCCTTAGTGTCTTTTCTGCTTCACTCTTCTCTGATTTTGACTTATGCCCCGGCATTTTTCCTCCCCAGCACTTCAAATATCCGGCTTTGTTTTTTGTTTTTGCAATTTTCAGGGAAACACTAATGTTATTTCTTAAAGATCGAAACTTTGACCTTAGAAAATGTAAATTCTATCATACCCACATCAAATTTTCCAAGAAAATTTTATCTGGAAAATTTTGGGGGTATTTTGGAAACCCTAAAAATGGAAACCCTCAGGTTCCAAGCTGGAAGAGCTGTGAAGGAGAGAAGACTTTTGTTTTTTTAGAGAGATAAAAGTTTCAAATTTTTCAAATTTTTTGTGTTGGTTTCCGCTATTATACGCTGCGCGTATATTGCGCCACTGTAGAGAAAAATGTCTTATATTTTTGGGTAGGATAATATAGTCCATTAAATATATTTTTGAACAGCATTGGTTCTTAAGTTTGGTCTTCGTTAAATATTTTAACAAACTATGGTTATTAAACTTAACAAAACTGTAAAATAAATAATTTAATGGATACTTACATTTGGAGGTACAATTTTGCTATTTTTGGTACATTTTTAGTGTTTGGCATAGTTTATGCAATTTTTTTATCTATTTCTAGTGCCTAATGCAATTTTTGGTATTGCAGTGTATGGGAATTGACCGGATTCTCTTTGTATTTTTGGTTTAATCTTTTTTTCATTTTTTAGATTAAATATAACAGCTAACTTGTTAGATGTTCGAGGCATACCAAAAGCATTATTTTTTACAAACTTGAAGAATTAAAAATGCTTAAGAATTCTTGTACATATTTTCCCTTAGTAAATAAAGCTCTTTAATTACCAAAAAAAATACTTATGAATATGTTTAAGGGACTATCCTAAACGTAACTCAAACATAAGGGACCCTTTGTTCATTTTCTCCGCCACTGTATGAGTTTGTATTTGGCACGTGTGGTTCATGTGGCCGATAATGTCCATTGTCCACGAGTGAGTGAGTGAGTGATGTGCGTAATGCGCACTGGGCGTAGAGAAGAGTAAGGGTTGGTTTTGGAATTTTAAGGAGTTGTGGGGTGCTGAGGTGGCAGAAAAAGGAAAACAGAGGAAATGAACTGGATCATATTCATAGCCATGATTAATTAATGGTGTAAAGGGGGGAACTCATTGAGATCGCAATCAATGGGTTAGGGGAATGATTAAGAAACTTGACCTTAAATACCCATTTGATGAGATTTTGATCACAGCATATACTCCTACCTTTTTTGTTCATGATTTTAATACTTTAGCCATCATATTATGTTACACACAGTACTATGCTTTGTGTAACATATACTTTCTTTGTTTCAAGTCTAGTAAATCGGGTTCTAAAAGACGAGCCAAATCCATAGTTTTCAGACACAAAAGTTCATTAAGGGATTTTTTTTGAAGACTGTTCTACTCTAATCCTAGTTCACGCCCATATAAAAAGGTTAATATTTAAAGTCATTCAAAATTACATAAATTCGTGAAATATTCACAAAAAGGTCAAGACATCAAATTGTGTCTTTTTCAAGTCCGATTATTCTTCCCCAAAATCAGCTTAGAATGCAGTTGGTTGCTTCTTGATAATCAAATACTTCAAGAAGAAGATCCACACGCTGCTAGACTTTTATGGAGATCAAATACATTCCAGATATGTATGCATCATAATACGTTCCAGAAATATACTGATTCAATCCTTGAATCGCAAAAAATAATCCAAGGAAAGAATCAAAGGAACAACTAGAAATATAGCCACAAAGATTCATCAATAAAAAAAAATTCTTTCATATATTTTTGTCCTTGCATTTATTTTTCATATCTCAAATTTTTATTGCAAATAAACTTTTTCGAAGTACGTGGAATAAATTGACTAATCTCAATGTGAATTTGAACATAGACTCTTTTACTTTTGAAACAAAATTTACATTACATAAAAAGTATTATAAGTTGCAATAGCTAACAATTTAAAATATTTAAAAACTATTTATAAAAGATAAGGTCAAAGAAAATCTTATTTGACTTTCCAATTAGTGTTAAATTTATTTTTTTAAACGAATAAAGGAGAAAATGTAAAAAAAGTGGAAGAACGTTAATTGCTATATTAATTCAAATTCGAATGGGGTAGCCCATATAAGAGATAGCACAGCCTCAAACCACTTTAATTATTTTTTTTTCCTTCAAATAAAAAAAATCACTCGGCTACAACTTCAAATGTTTTTTGTAGAGAACTACGTATATTTCGAGTGATGTAGGTTTTCTTCTAGTCATTTTCTATGTACTACAATGTTGCCTTCAAGTCTCGTTCATTGTGGTCCTATGTTGCTTTCATCACAATATCGCATTGCTTAATGCTTCAAACCACTATTAAATTTGCTCTAAGATTTTTTCTTTCTTATCAAATTATCGAGCAAAATTGTTCGTTTGCTTTATTTTTTAAATTACTTTTCCAGCCTCATAATCATTTCTGGTAATGAATTTCAAAAACACTTATGATGAAGTGGTAAAAGTGATACTCATTAGATTATATGAAAAGCATTATAAGATAATTAATATAAACTTTGACCAAAGTATAACTTGACTTTCCGATCATTAGCACGAATACTATTTTAGAACAAATTAGCTTATACTATTTTAAGGAACCTATCAGCTTATCCTCTTCACGTATATCGATTAAACCACCCTGAATATTCCATTAAAAAATATGAAGTGCCCATGTGCCAAAAGATTGAATCTTTGTCGGTGAAAGTTTTTTCTTCTTTTTTTTCTTTTTTTTTTGGGTCGACAAATTAAGTTCTCTACTCGGCTAAAAATATTTAATGTCCATAGACAATATATGTATATTATACCTTAATTATGTATAACATATATTTGTCGACTGTTTTTTTTTCTTTACGAGTGATTATTTTAATTTAATTAAGAAAAAAACACTTAGCATCATCTCATGACTTCTTATCTTCTAGTAGAGTCAATCGCATTTTTGTTTGTGACGAAATGACAAGAAGCTTACGTTGTGGCATTTTGATTTTCATAATAATGTCTTGGGAGACAAACGNACAGTGTTTCCTTAAGGAATTTAATCCCCTCCTAGTACCCAAGGTTATAGATTATTTCCTCTCAAGTTTGAACAAATTACACACTGGTGCAGTGGTAATTCAAATCCCAGTGTTTCAGCGAACACAAAGTTCGGTAGCAAATCACACTTTGCTTTTTTTTATGTTAAAAATATGCAAAAGAAAGGAGGAGAACTCAGAAAATCGTATGAAAATTCTGAGAGAATAGACTTGTATTTATAGCCAAAGTTGGGATGAAATCTGAAGAGGTGCAACTCTTCAGAATGACTGTTTATGCAAAATCGCCATAGCATAAATGTCATAACATAAATGGCTATTTACTCAAAAATAAAGAGGGAAAATTGAAGAGGGTAGTTAATTTTCTGTACAAAAATAGAAAACTGAAAATTGGAAACGGTTGAATTTTAGTATTAATATTCTTAGATTTAATATTAATATTTTGTTATTAAAACAGATATTTAATAACATTTCTGTTAATATTTACTATTAACAAACAAATTTGGTGCCGAAGCTGAAGCCGAGCTAAGCGACGACGACGGCGCGAAGCTTGCCTTCTTCTCAACTCTTTAAGAGCTAGAAGAAGAGCAATTGCTTATATACCCATTAAAAACCTCTTCTTCTTCTAATATGAGACAATGTTCTTTCATCAAGGGGGAAACTTAAAATTTCACTTAAAATTTTCATTTCCCTCCATTTCTCATTCACCCTCTTTTAAGCATTTAATATACTTAAAACCCCAACAAGAAACTATTTACATCTGGTAGCCAAAAAAGTATATAAAATTTGTATAATTTTTGTATATATATATATATAAATTATACAAGTTTTATATATTTTTTCGACTATTATTTTTACAACGGCTATACAGTATCATTTTTTCTTTTATTATATGTGTTTGCACTTTGCACATAAACTTTATAATTTAATTACGATCAATTAGTATGTATTTTTCACCCATTTAATCGTCTAAAATAAATTAATATAATTGGTTATAAATATCGGACGTGAATGTGTTTTATTCAAATTTGCCTAGCAGTATAGAACCCAGTTGATCTCTGTCCATTTGGATCCTTTGAGTTCAACTTTGCCGTCATTCAGTGTTGGGTGCTATTTTTGTTTCTAAAAGAACATACCATTCGGTGGGAGAAAGAGGTCAAATTTTTTCGACACACCTCTCGAAATCGAAAAATCTTTTACACACCAAACTTTTTATACGCTAAATTTTTCACAAATATATTTAACACATACAACTTTTGTTACGTGGCACTCTCGTGTTTTACGCACATAATAAGCAAATAAATAGTGAAAAAAGAATTATTATGTCTGAAGCCTCCTTTGGTGCCACGTGTTTAATTTTTTATTTAATTTTTTCCATTCCTTCTAATCATCTACTTCATTGACAAGAACATAACACTAACAACATTGGAGAAACTTAGCTTTAGCTTTTGTATCTAATTCTATTTGTGTATAAAATTTAATAATACTGATTGTCTTCTTTTCCCAATTCCAAACAAATTGGGATCGACTATATGAATACTCAATGATTATGTTGTTTCAGGTAAATTCATCATAGAATAACGATATAACATCAATAATAATAGAGTCAACTACTCAAATGGTCACTCAACTATCTCAAATTATTTCCTAAAGTCACTTTACTTTCGTTTGTAACAACAAAGTCACTGAACTATATCTATTGCACTCAGAAGGTCACTCAACTAGATTTTCCAAATTTTGGATTGTCAAATACCTATTTTACCCTCTAAATTATAAATATTTGTCTTTTTTTCAAAAAAACTTTTTAATATTATGATTTTCTCTTTTAATTTATATTATGGACTTACCTATAGAATAAATAAATATGATTTATAAATTAAAAAAATAAAAAGTATTTAAGCATATATAATGCTGGAATAACAAAATAATGAGCATAGTAAAAAAATAATTAGAATAATATGTTAGTAATAATAATTTTAGTATTAACAACAAAAATTCACAAATTTATTTGCACAATTCAGAATGAAGAGAAAATAAATATTGTAAAATATATATTCCATGCACGTAATATAAAAATAATTATTTAAATGAAGGTATTTTTATAATATACATTATATATTCTTGAAAATTATGCTCAATTATATTATTTATATTCCATGCAGTCATGCACGACTTAACATAGCATATTTTACCATATACAAATAATTCCTCTGCTTTCCGGTGATATAACTTTGT